AGAAAACCAATAAGACCAGACTCAATTAACATTTAATGCACATACGTTTATCAGTAGTAGCGTGATACAGGTGATTTTCAGTTGCTAACTGATAATCATTCCAAATATCTGAACTGAGCTGAATTGGTAATTCTAGTCTGCCCCGGGGTAAGCTCATGCAGCAGCATCTAAATTTTTACTACCGATAAGTTACAACAAAAGCAACACTGAAGTCCGGTGTTTCCCACCCAGAGCTACTGGATGAAGTGAGAATTGTGCGTGAAGATCGGAAGTCTGATTGATGGAGAATTACCTTATGGAGTTTTCGGAAAAAATAAATCACGAAAGCTTCGGGTTATAAAGCTAACTATTTTAGTTCACCTTAAAAAAGAAATAAAGACTTGGCTACCAGCAAACTTGGCTAATCGGGGCAGGGTTTGAGTCCAAAATGAGGAAAAAACGATCGGAAACACTAAACTGCTGGATCAATTTTGTGAAGGATACCGACACAGATTGCCTAAAGCAACGGTGTCGGTATCCTCCACAGCTTTTTTCGATATCACTGTTTTCAATGACTGAACCATTTTTTCCTCACGATTTCATTCCTCTTTCTATCTCGGTTTCAGTGGGAATTCAATGAGCAATTTGATCATATCTATCAGTCATAATGCTTAAACCAAAAAAACATTCATGAGACTAACGTGATGCATCAAACTAGACATATTGGATACTGTAATCAGCGTTTTTCGGAACGACCATGCAACTGAATATCGTAGGATGGACAAATGGATTTTTCCAAACTCCACATCACAGAAAACTGCCGTTTATAACTCAACTCTTACACTTCATCATCATTTTGGTACCAAGGTAAATACCTGATCGAAACTTATTCGTTTGCATTTAATTTGTACCCGTTCCACGAAATCAAAATCCACTTAATGCTGTACAAGAGACCTGTTTCCGAGGTTATGGTCTAGAATGCTGTTAATATTTTACTCCCATCAAAACACAGGGCAATTTGTTTTCATTAACTGAACGACCTATCGATATTTACACATTCACACAGTATTCTCCCACACTTGCTGAGCCTCTGCGCCGACGGCATGTGGCAAAATAGGAGAAAATTCTTCCATGTCCGTAAACCGTGGGACGACAGGAGTTTGATACGCTCTTTGAGGCCGAATGGAGCCGACGGTTTATGAGCTCAATCGCGAGCCAATTGGAAACGTGAGTGCAAGTGTCCTTTTGACACTCGAGATGAGCTTCCTACTGACAACCACATCAGTAGTAAGATTTTGAACTGCGAAATTTTCCCGAGTAAGAATTCATTTGTAGCACCGACCATAGACCAACAAAATCAGATAAGAAAAGTAAATACATATCTTCTCTGAAAGACTAGCGATTTACAAATCGGGGGAACGGAGTAGGGCTGAATGGACAAAGAGTGAACGAGGGAACAAATAGAAACACAGCAACATAACCATTCGTCAGGTTTGACCATTTCGATGCCTTTGTACTTCTGAGAACGCAGCAGACAACATCGATTCGACCGAGCGCAGCTTTTCCCGTGGTTTGCCTAACTGCTTCCCGATCGACCGTTCAACAGCATCCACACGTTCCCAATCGGCAAACGAGACGGAGCGAACATCTGGAATAGAATGTTGTATGGAAAGGAGCAGGGAAGCGTCGTCACACGGTGGTATATAAGACAAAGAGATCATTTATGAAAGAAGCAGAAACAAACCCGACGGGAATCCCCAAAGATATATATATATATAGTGTAGAATAAAAGATTTAGCAGATATGCAACCGAAAATTGTCACCCATACCAACGAAGACCATTGGGGGCACTGTACAGTGAATGCTTGATTGTGATAAGAATATTCATGGAGTCATGCGGGATTCGAACCAGGACACTTTTGGCCAAAAAAGGAATTCCATCAGATCATTCTAATTAAATAGATCAATAATTAATCGATGCACAGTACTATTCAATCTTATTGAAAACCTGTATCAAGAAATTGAGCGATCAGCTTTGTGTAGTCCCACAGAACAGAGTGAGAACAACAACAACGTGACGAACAAGCTCGTTTTCAGTTATTTGTAATCATGTTGGTACATAACATTAAATAAAACTAACAACAAGAACAAAAGGGGATGAGAAATTCTACAGCCTCATTCTATGCACACCCATTCACCTGGTCCTGTAGGACTGGGTAAATTGGCCGCACGACCAGGCTCTTATCCGACCGCGTTCGTGAACAGCCAGGGGCCTGAATTAGGACTGGGAAAATTAAGGTAATTATGAGTGCGATGTTTTCACATCTCCTTGAGGCAAATCACCTGATGGATGTGGCAAGCACATTCGAACAGATTTACAAAGTTCGACGTCAAAGTCCAAGTGAATTACTTGCAAGCTCGTGCTTCTCTTGTCCCCATAGGATATTGACACAGTTCAATTGCTTCTCGGTAAAAAATACTAAAATGTCACAGAGTTCTAGGCAGGAGATAACAGGTAATGTAGTCTTCAACGAATTTGTTTTTTTTTAGCTGTGTAAGAATGCGAGGTGTGCCAGGGCTTTATCGAGTCTCCGCTTGAAACACAAACGACGTGAAATGGAAGTGTGTTCCAAGTANGCAAAAGATCGGCGCCGGCATCCCAGTCGACACCTTGGAATCAGGAACAACGAAGCCACAGCAGAAGCCTTCAGAATTCGGATTCACAATCCTCGCTTGTGCCCCCAGCAGAAATTCATGCAAGCACCTAACCTCCCCTGGCCTACTTCATCCACGTGTGCAATCACTTGAACTGTTGACATTGTGATCAATTTTACACGAACGCACACGGTTGGAGCCAAATTTGAACCATTCGGACTCCAATTTCCCATTCCGTTTTTATTCTTATTGTTAGTTATACTTAATGTTATGTAATGGCATGATTAATAATATATATACATATACATATTTCTCACACGTCTGACAGTGTGCTACACAAAAATCATAATACAATAACAGAAAACAAGCTTGTTCGCCAGGCTGTTGTTCTCAGATTCATCACCATTCAGTGCAGCACGAATGGTTCAAAGTCAGTGCTGACTGGGCACTAAGCCCCAACAACTGGAGAAAGAACACTGTTGAGAAACGACAATCAGTGTGTATTCTTGATCATGAAACAACAAGCAAATATATGTGGTCAGTTGGGCGTACGCGAGCAGACGTGGTGATGCGCCAATCAGATCGTGACCTTGACACAGGTCGATCGATCGGACGACAGCTATTTGATTCACCTTAGTCATCCAATCAGGAGTCGATTCAGCTTGGGCGTCACGAGCGCACTTGTGGTCGTTGCGTGGCAGGACGGATTCTGTGCGTCCCGTCAAGTTTGTTGGTTGGTTGCTGAGAAACTTTATTAGATGAATAGTGATCCCAAGGTATTTCGGAAGTTAGTGATAGATTGCCTCTGAGCAGTCGTTACAACTGGGATAAAAAACAAACAAACAAACAAACAAACAACAACAGTGCGAGAAATTCGATGAAGGGGTGCGGGGTTGCGGGGTGGGGGGGGGGNACGGGAGGACTCACTCACCTCGTTCACGCAGTATCGACAGGATCGGCTGCAATCCGGGCTTTTGCGTGACTCGCGGATCCGCATGTAATTCCGCCTCCGCAAGGTCATGCAGCACCGTTCGTCCAGTTTCACGAGCATCCATAGCCGTGTCCACGATGACACCGACCGCACCCCGTTTCGCCCACCCGGTACAATACAATAATGAGGCATCTGCACCGACAGGCCGATGCAAAGGTTCAGCCACATGACCGTGTGAATCAATCGAGTGGATTACACCACGGGCTTGGTCGAACGGTAGATCGGAATCGATTTGCACACTTCGATATCCGATACTGCGAACCACCAGGCCGCAATCCAAAAATTCGGTGGGACGATCGGAATCCACCATGACCGTTTGTCGATCACTGATCGGACCCTGAAGTGGGAGCGTAAAATCAGAGGAACCTTTCATTGGCAAAAGTGAGCTGATAGAGGTCCACTTTGAAGATACGCCGCGAAAAACACAGGTTGTGAAGAGCAAGAACTACAAACAATCTGGTTCGCGCAGGGAGTAAAAACTCGTTTTCGTTTTGTTTATTGCTTGCAACTTTGAAGATTTTCTACATTTCGGGTTTGGTGTTTGGAAGTTCAAACACGTGAAAACCGCACCACACCACTGAATTCGATTGAATACCAATATCTCGCAATATCTCCAGCACATAATAGTATAAATCGATAGATC